CTAGCTGCTATGCAAAAGAGTTCTATAAAAACTACCCTTTTATACTGAGGGGAATGACATATGGTCAGCCCTCCATATGCACAGGTTCTGCATCTGCAGATACAGAAGGCCAGCTATACTACACCATTTTATTTTGTTTTATTTTTTGTATAAATTTATTTATTTTATTTATTTTTGGCTGCATTGGGTCTTCGTTGCTGCACACGGGCTTTTCTCTAGTTGCAGCGAGCGGGGGCTACTCTTCCTTGTGGTGCACGGGCTTATTGCTGTGGCTTCTCTTGTGGAGAATGGGCTCTAGGCACACGGGCTTCAGTAGTTTTGGTTCGCGGGCTCTAGAGCACAAGCTCAGTAGTTGTGGCTCACGGACTTAGTTGCTCTGCGGCATGTGGGATCTTCCCAGACCAGGTCCCGAACCCCTGTCTCCTGCATTGGCAGGCGGATTCTTAACCACTGCGCCACCAGGGAAGCCCTACTAGAGGCTTTTAGATGAGACTTCAGCATCCTTGGATTTTGGTATCCGTGGGGGTCCTGAAACCAATCTCCCACAGTTACCAAGAGATACATCTGTTTTAAACCTGTTATTTTGTTCCTCTTGCTTTACTCTTTCAGCAGGTCCATTTGATTGTTGTTGGTGTTGAAATTCCTGGTAATGTACTTACTAGCAGCCCTCTTTGGCTTAGACACAGCACCTAAAGTAATTGTAGGTACTTTAAGAACATAAAGAGCACCTTGAGCAGGCCAGTTGGAGGATTGGCAGTGCTATCAAGAAACAGAGTCTTTATGGCAGTCTCTCTAAAAACTCCCTGTGGGGCCATTGCCTGTAAATTTCTTTAGACTTGCCTTGTGCACCTTTTCATCAGAAACCACCTGTTTTTTTTTTTTTGGCTGTGTTGGGTCTTTGTTGCTGCACGCAGACTTTCTCTACTTGTGGCGAGCGGGGCCTACTCTTCACTGTGGTGCACAGGCTTCTCATTGCGGTGGCTTCTCTTGTGTAGCATGGGCTCTAGGCGCACGTGCTTCAGTAGTTGCAGCACGTGGGCTTACTAGTTGCGGCACGCGGGCTTCAGTAGAGAAGCCACCTCTTTGGTGTGGCAAGTATTATGAGTTGACTGACACCTTGGAAGTTTAAAAACAAAGAAAAGCAATATGATGAAAAGAAAACCTGACATTCAGTCCCATATAAGTTGCTAACTAACTCTATAATCTTGGGCAGGGTGCTCCATGTATCTCAGCCATACTTTCCCATGTGGAAGCAGGTATTATTTATGTCCTATTGTGAGGATTTATCAAGATGACATTTGTGAAGAATGCCTTTATAAACTGTAATTGCTTTGTGAATAAAGATTACTATCTCTGATAGACAGTACCAGTTCTCAGCCACCAGTAACTTGATTCTCCCATCCTGTGTTTGGAAGAAGCACAAATCTGCAAAGAGGGCTTGCTCATTTTTCAGCGTGAGTTGTATTCACAAGGCTCACATACTTTCCCCCTGCCTTTGATCCTGTCTGTCTCCCTCTCTCTCCATATTTGAATGGGGTGATCTTTTATGCCACACAGCAATCATATTCTCAATACAGAGTATAACTGTGACTCTGCTTGTGGGAGATCTTCAGAAAAGATGCAAAGCTGCTGGCCAGAAACGTTCTTTCCTTTCCATTTTCTCTTGTACCTCCCCAGTACCTTAAGAATCCTTGGGCTTGGTTATAAACCAGCTGGAAGTTACGATAGGGTCTCAATTCTCTGACCCAAGTCCTTTTCACAGGTTAACAGTCACAAAATGGAGTTATGAAGTCTCCAAGAGCAGCAGATGAAAAGGGAAATGGAAATGTGAATGTTGAATTTAGCAGCCCTCAGACCCAGAATATGCTACTCTCTAGTGTCCCTGAGGTGGAGAGTAAGGACTCGCTTTGCTCTTCAGGAGTGTGATTATCTCTCGCTGCTTGCAGCTTTTTCACATTAAGACCTTTTGAAATATACTTAGGGACACATATATGTGACTTTGTCAAGTGAGAGCTTTGGGCTTGGGAGGATTCTAGCAGGTTTTAATCTAATTTACGCCTAATCTAACACGACTGAGAAAGGGGGTGTCTTTGGTTTTACTTTCAAATATATGGTGGTACATCTTTAGAAGCCAGATGTGGTTAATCAGACTTGTCTTCATGGTACCTTTGCTTCAAGTGGCTTAATAAATAACCCAATAATTCAAATGATGAATAAAAATTCTAGTGTGTGAAGGTGGTGGGTAATAGACAATTAAAAGTGGTTATCCGGGCTTCCCCGGTGGCGCAGTGGTTAAGAGTCCGCCTGCTGATGCAGGGGACACGGGTTCGTGCCCCGGTCTGGGAAGATCCCACATGCCGCGGAGCGGCTAGGCCTGTGAGCCGCTGAGCCTGCGCGTCCAGAGACTGTGCTCCGCAACGGGAGAGGCCACAACAGTGAGAGGCCCGCGTACCGCAAAAAAAAAAAAAAGTGGTCAACCAAAAAGTTACAAAATCATCCTACCCACTTATTAATCCAACTCCCCACAGGTTGTTTCCTTAGGAGACACTGGCATATCTTTATGAAATCTGAACAAAAGACCTGACAGGAATGGGGAGGAGTACAGTATAAGTCACGCCTGTGCTTGGTACATCTGGGCAGCCGCTGTATAACACCTGGGGAATCAAATCATAAATCAACCTGATTGTTCTTATTTGAGTTTTTTGTGTCTGTTTATTCTTTTCTTCTTAGAATTTTTTAAAAAACATATTTATTTATTGATTTGTTTTGGGCTGCATCGGGTCTTAGTTGCAGTACGTGGGATTCTCCACTGCAACACACAGGCTCCTCATTGCGGGGCATGGGCTTCTCTCTAGTTGTGGTGCATGGGCTCAGTAGTTGTGGGGCCTGGGCTTAGTTGCCCCGAGGCAGTGGGATTTTAGTTCCCCCACCAGGGATCAAACCTGTGTCCCCTGAATTGGAAGGCAGATTCTTAACCATTGGACCACCAGGGAAGTCCCGTGTCTGTTTATTCTTATTAAAACAGTTGGCTCCTGGGCTTCCCTGGTGGCACAGTGGTTAAGAATCTGCCTGCCAATGCAGGACACATGGGTTCGAGCCCTTGTCTGGGAGGATCCCACATGCCGCGGAGCAAATAAGCCCGTGCGCCACAACTACTGAGCCTGCACTCTAGAGCCTTCGAGCCACAGCTACTGAAGCCCGCGTGCCTAGAGCCCGTGCTCCACAACAAGAGAGGCCACCGCAATGAGAAGACCCCATGCAGCCATAAATAAATTTATAAAAAATCAATTCGCTCTGTTCTTCAATAGTGATGGGTTTAACAGCCATTTTGTATTCTTTAGCAGTGGTGTCTGGTAGCCTCATGTCTAACCATGTGCACATTGAAAAGAAAGGGCCGCCTCAGTTGTAGGGGGCTCTGAGGAATAAGAAATCAGTGGTTAGGACTCTGCACTTCCGTTGCAGGGGGTACGGGTTCAATCCCTGGTCCGAGAACTAGGATCCTGAAAGCCTCGTGGTGCTGCCAAAAAAAAAAAAGAAATCATGCATGCCATTGTAACACATGAATTGAAGGTAATCTTCTCAAATTGATATGCTGTGAGTACTCCTAGCAGGGCGAGTTCCCTAGCTTCGACAGAAAGTCATCAACAGCTTCTGGAACATCATATTTGTTATCTGATAAGTATAACGTGCTCCTTGCCTTAGGAATTCCTGAGTCTACTGATGCCTCCCAGTGGTACAATCAGAATTTGCAATTGACTGCAATTCACAGTATTGCCTTGTTCTGATGGCACTGTTCACTGTTCAAATGGCAACCCCCGTGTTTTATGGACTGGGTGTACAGGTGTACACGACAGCAGTACCTTCCTCTAGAGCCGCTGTGTGCTAAAGCACTCCAGTCTTCCAGGGATAGTTGGATCCATTCAGTCTTTTTTTCGTTCCATAACTGCTTATTAAGCTCCTTTTCTGTACCAAGTACTGAGCTTGGTACTGATAATAAAAGACCAGCAAGATTTAGCCTGGTTGATCAGATTTGGCCCAGCATTTGAAAACTAACACTAAGCGCTGTCATAAAGATACAGGTTCTGACATGCAGTGACCATTCCCTTATGAGAGCTTAGTCTTTCAGTAGATTGAAATGGAGTGTGAAGTATTATCACCTGACAAGCAAGTAAGATGAAGTGAGTAGCTAATCTGATGAATGAGTGACTAGTCCTTTTCTAGCACTTAGGGCTCGAAATACAGGTATTGAGCCCTAACTATATCCCATGCTAAGCACTTGACATGTATTAATTTACTTAATCTTCATAACCACCTTATGAAGTAGGTACTGTTATTCCTACTTTACAAATGAGGAAACTGAAGCGCAGAGAAGTTAAGGACCTTGCTGATGAAGGTCATGGAGTGGAGTCAGGATGCAAGTTTAGGGAACCTGACCCAGAGTCCATATTCTTAAATGACATGATATACTGCCTCTGGGTGGAAGGGTATCATCTTGACCAACCTCCTGTATAGGTAGAGCTTGGCAGAGTGATAATCCCCCGACCCTCCCTGTCTGCAGAGCTTTTTCTCTTTCCTGGATTGGCTCCTAGAGCAGATTACCTATCCCTAAGAGTGAGCAGGAGTTGCCAAATGCAGCAGGCAGTCCCTTATCTACAGCCCCAGAAGTGAATCTGCCTCTCCCTTTCACCAGCTGGGTAACCTTACCTCTCTGAGCATGTTTCGTCATCTGTAAAATGGAGATAATGATCATGGGATCATTTAGGGGTTAAATGAGATAACATACTTAACAGTTTCTGGCTCTGAGTAAGCACTTAAAAAATGTTAGCAAATTTTTATTATCATTGTCCTCTAGCCTTGAGAACAAACCATGAAACAGTTTCTCAGAGACCAGATTCTAGGACTTAGGTAGGTGGGCAGGTTTTTTTTTGTTTTGTTTTGTTTTCACAAGACAATAATTTTATTCTATGTATTTCTCTTGACTCTTTTGGTGTGAAAAGCAGAGAGGTAAAGCATTATTTGACAGATGTATGGATTCAAGCAAGAAACTGAGGTCCAATTGCAAAGAAATGCCTTGTATAACTCAGAGCCCTGTCTGAGGAGACACAGAGGACCCTAGAGGGCGGAGAATGAACACAGCGCAGGGGCTAGTTCCAGAGTCGCATCCTCGGTTAGTTCACTTGCAAGTGTGGGTGAGGGTCCCTTGTCAGTAGGCAGAGATTTTTTTTTCCTCTGCTCTAACACATATCTGCTGTCTAGTGTTTATTAAACAAAATTTATTTTTTTCTTGATGTGAAAGAATTCGTGTCTTGTCCAAAATGCAGAGGCAAAGGAGCTCTGTAACTGCAGGCTTGTTGAACCCCTTTTCCCACCTGTTCTGGTGCCAGGCTTTCCCAAAGTGCTTATTTGCCAATGGTTGCTCCTCAGTTCTCATGGCCAGCTCACTCTGAAGGCTCCAAGCCACAGTGATGCTGCTGCCACCACCGCCACTATCACCACTGCTGCCACCACCAGCCATTCAGTTTCCTGCTCTAAGGATGTGACCTGCCGTGAAGCTTTCACATTCCTCTTTTCTTCCTGTCTTCGGTGTTGTACCTCTTTCTTTTGGTGCTTTTGCCATGCAGCAGTATTGCAAAAAAAGTTTTCAGGCACCAAAGTTAGCCCTTACTACCTCACCAAGGGGATTTGAGTTAGCCATGGAAAAGAAGATAATTGAGAGGGCTCCTGTGCCTCTGTGCTTCAGAAGGAAAGAGTTTGCTTCTTGACAGTGTGCCAGCTCCCTAGCCAGGTGGGGGACGTGCTGGGACTACATGACCTCTGGAGGAGTAGACTGGGCCTAACCTGCCCAAAGACAGCGCCCCAACCCACAGGAGCCAAGGCTGAAGACTGATTTCACCTTCTCCCATTCCCTTTCCCTAAGCTTAAGCTTGCTCTGCCACACTGTCCCAAGTCTGTGGCTTATAACAGCCATTTCCTTTTGCTGATGAATAAGCCCACTCTTTGTAAAATGTTTCAACTTAGGGACTGGAAAGGCTCTCTGTGCTTTCCTGTCTCTTTGTTTCTCCAAAGGTTAATGTTAATGGCTTCTGTCTTTGTCTTTACAGGGAACTCTAATGATCCATGACAAAGAGGTCACCCTTGAGTATGTACCAAGCCTGGATTTTTGGTACTGCAAACGGGTAAGTGCCAAGAATTCCTCTCCTTAGAAGTAAGGATCCAGCATCACAGCTCCTCCATGTCTACAGGAATGCTGCCTGGTGTAGTATGCATTGCCAAGGGCAAAGCTCTTCTTCCTTGGTTCACTTCAGATGAACTGGAGGTCAGGGCAAGATCATCTATAATTTCTGCTTCCCAGCTACTGCCTGTGGCCATAGAGGGTTCTGGGCCTGTAGTTGGAGACCTTTTCCCAAGGACATATGCCATGCTTTCTGTTGATTACAAACTGAAAGAAAAACAGTCCCTTGACTTATAACCTCTCCCCAGTTACCCTTCCTGGGGTAAAGAGGATTTATTAGTGTTTGGAATGATGTATATAAAGAGGCTGGTTCTGTGAGAGATACACTTTTTTTTTGGATATTCAGGGGTTTCCAAGGATATAGAACTTTAGGTACCATGGTATTTTTCCTCTCTTCAACTTCATATTGTTCTTGAATGGCATATATAAAGATTTTAGGCTCTACTCTTTTTTTTTTTTTTTTTTTTGCGATACGTAGGCCTCTCACGTTGCGGAGCACAGGCTCCGGACGCGCAGGCTCAGCGGCAATGGCTCACGGGCCCAGCCGCTCCGCGGCATGTGGGATCTTCCCGGACTGGGGCACGAACCCGTGTCCCCTGCATTGGCAGGCGGACTCTCAACCACTGCGCCACCAGGGAAGCCCCAGGCTATACTCTTTTTAGAAGTCCAGTTTGATTGCAAATGAGCATGAAAATATATTTTGTCATTTTTCATTGCTACTGTTTAGTTTCAAAAATAAATTTGAAAAATCTATATAAAGTTTCTGAACCAAGATTCATTAAAAGTGTTGTAGAACTTGATAAAATTAAGTAAAAGTTTTAGCTTTACATTTTTGAATACAATTTGAATAGCTGTGATTGTCATTGACCAAAGTATTCATAGTTCATGGATGTAGTACCTTAAGCTGTCAATTTAGGAAAACATTTAACTATTTTTTAAAAGGTGGTGAAATACACATAACATTAAATTTACCATTTTAACCATTTTAAAGCATATAATTCAATAGCCTTAAGTACATTCACAATGAAGTGCAATCATCAACACTGTCTAATTCTATAACTTTTTCATCATCCTAAAAGGAAACCCCATATCTATTAAACAGTCTCTCCCCATTCCCCTTTCCCTCAGTTTCTGGAAACCACTATGACTACTCTGTTTTTTATCTCTATGAATGTGCCTATTCTGAACATTTCATGTAAGTAGAACCATATATTATGTGACCTTTTGTGTCTGCCTTCTTTCACTTAGCATGTTTTCAAGGTTCATCCATGTTATAGTGTGTATCAGTACTGCATTTATTTTTATGGCTGAATAATATTATATGGATATACCACATCTTGTTTATCTGTTCATCAGTTGATGGACATTTGAGTTGTTTCTACTTCTTGGCTATTGAATATTCATGTGCAAATTTTTGTTTGAAAACCTGTTTTCAGTTCTTTCGGAAGTGCCCAGGAGTAGAATTGTTGGGTCATGTGGTACTTTTCATTTTTTAACTCTTTGAGGAACCAATAAACTGTTTTCCACAGACAGCAGCTGCACCATTTTGCATTCCCTCCAGCAGTGTCTGAGGGTTCCAATTTCTCCACATCCTTGCCAACATTTGTTATATTCCTTTTTTTTTTTTGATAGTAGCCATCAAACTATTTCACAACCACCAGTGAGTATGAAATAGTATCTCATCATCATGATTATGATGATGATTTGCATTCCCCTAATGACTAATGATGTTGAGCATCTTTTCTTGTGTTTGTAGCCACTAGTATATCTTCTTTGGAAAAACGTTTCTTCAAGTCCATTTTTGATTAGGTTGTCTTTTTTTTTTTTTTTTGGAGTGTAGTTGATTTACAATGTTGTGTTAGTTTCAGGTGTACAGGAAAGTGAATCAGTTATACATATATTTATATCCACTCTTTTTTAGATTCTTTTCCCATATAGGCCATTACAGAGTATTGAGTAGAGTTCCCTGTGCTATACAGTGTAGGTCCTTATTAGTTAATCTATTTTATATATAGTAGTGTGTGTATGTCAATCCCAATCTTCCAATATATCCCTCCCCTCTGTCTTCTTGTTAATTTGTAAGAGTTCTTGGGAATTCCCTGGTGGTCCAGTGGTTAGGACTTGGTGCTTTGACTGCAGTGGCAATCCTTGGTCGGGGAACTAAGATCCCAGAAGCTGTGCAGTGTGGCCAAAAAAAAAAAAAAAGAAAAAGTTGTAAGAGTTCTTTATATTTTCTGGATGTTTATCCCTTATCAGATACGTGATTTGCAAATATTTTCTCCCATTCTGTGTGTTGTCTTTCACTTGCTTGATAGTGTCCTTTGATACACAAGGTTTTAATTTTGATAAAGTCCAATTCATCTATTTTTTTTCTTTTTTAAAAAAAATTTATTTATATATTTATTTATTTTGGGCTGTGTTGGGTCTTCGTTGCTGTGCACGGTCTTTCTCTAGTTGCAGTGAACGGGGGCTGCTCTTCATTGGGATGCGCGGACTTCTCATTGCGGTGGCTTCTCTTGTTACAGAGCGCGGGCTTCAGTAGTTGTGTCTCATGGGCTCTAGAGTGCAGGCTCAGTAGTTGTGGTGCACGGGCTTAGGTGCTCCACAGCATGTGGGATCTTCCTGGACCAGGGCTCAAACCTGTGTCTCCTGCATTGGCAGGCGGATTCTTAACCACTGCACCACCAGGGAAGCCCCTATTTTTTTTTCTTTTATTGCTTGTCCTTTGGTGTCATGAAACCATTGCCAAAGCCAAGGTCTTGAAGACTTATCCGTATGTTTTCTTCTAAGAAATTTATAGTTTTGGCTTTTATGTTTAGATCTTTGGTCTATTTTGAGTTAATTTTTGTTCCAGGTATGAGGTAAGGGTCCAGTTTCATTCTTTGGAATGTGGATATTCAGTTTTCCCAGCACCATTTGTTGAATTAACTATTATTTCCCCATTGAATGGTTTTGGTACTCTTGTTGGAAATCATTTGACCATAGATGTATAGGTTTATTTCTGTAGACTCTCAGTTTTATTCTGTTGATCTATATTTTTATCCTTATGCCAGTACCACACTGTTTTTGTGTTTTTGGCTGCGTTGGGTCGTCGTTGCTGCGCATGGGCCCTCTCCAGTTGCAGCGAGCAGGGGCACTCTTGGCTGTGGTGCGGTGGCTTTGCCTGTTGTGGCACACAGGCTCTAGGCACGCGGTCCTCAGCAGTTGCAGCATATGGGCTCAGTAGTTGTGGCTCATGAGGGCTCAGTAGTTGTGGCTCGTGAGAGCTCAGTAGTTGTGGCACACAGGCCCAGCTGCTCCACGGCATGTGGGATCTTCCCAGACCAGGGCTCGAACCCGCGTCCCCCGCATTGGCAGGCATATTCTTAACCACTGCGCCACCAGGGAAACCCACCACACTGTTTTGATTACTGTAACTCTTTAGTAAGTTTTGCAGTCGGGAAGTGTGAGTCCTTCGATTTTGTTCTTCTTTTTCAAAACTGTTTTGGCTACTCAGGGTCCCTTGCAATTGCATATACATTTGAGGATCTGCTTTTCCATTTCTGCAAAAAAGGCCATTAGAATTTTGAGAACATTTTGCATTTTAATAGTGACTGCCTCTACGTCTTAGAATTATGAGTGATTTTCCCCTGTCTCTTAAACTTTCCATTATTAGCTATAATGCACACGTATTGTTTATTTTATAATCAAGAGATGGAGGGAGCTAGCATTAAAGGGAAAGTTTTGAACTCTATTTTCTGTTAACCAGCAGACAAAAATGTTAATATCTGACATCAGAATTATGTAGCTGTTGCCAAGGCTGTTGCTTGAAAGAACAGAATAGCTTGGTTAAATTGTTCCCTAAAATGGCAGGCCACTTGTTCAGCTGTTTCAGAGATACTTTGTAATTTTTGTGCTTTTCTGGAAGAGTTGAGGTGCCAACCCTGCATATGTGATCTTTGGCCTGATGTGAAATGCACTGACTTTTAAAAAAATTCATAGCAGTATTACTCATAATAACCAAAAAGTAGAAGCAACCCAAATGCCCATCAACTGATGAATGGATAAACAAAATGTGGTATAGCCATACAGTGGAATGCTATTTAGCAGTAAAAAGGAATGAAGTACTGATAGGTGCTACAACATGAATGAACTGGGAAAAGACTATGCCAGACGCAAAAGATTAATTCTATAGGACTGGGGGTGAGAATGGGAGATGACTCCACCAGGTTTCTTTTGGGGATGAAGAAAATGTTCTAAAGTTAGATTATGGTGATGATTGTATTATATATATGCTAGAAATCATTGAATTGGACACTTAAAACTGATGGATTTTATGGTATTTAAATTATACCTACTCAGGTTAGGATCCTGATTCCCCCACTTACAGCTCTGCTGTACAGTCATCCAATGGTATCTGTGGGGGATTGAGTCCAAGACACCCTGCTGATATCAAAATCCACAGATGCTCAAGTCTCTTGTATAGAATGATGTAGTATTTGCACATAACCTAGGCACATCCTCTCGTGTACTTTAAATCATCTCTAGATTACTTATAGTAGATAATACAATGTAAATGCTATGTGAATAGCTGCCGGCATGTGGCAAATTCAAGTTTTGCTTTTTGGGACTTTCTGGAATTTTTTTCCCCCAAATATATTTGATCTGTAGTTGGTTAATCTGCAGATGTGGAACCTGTGGATATGGAGGGCCAACTGTAATAACAAATAGCCCTCAAATCCTAGTGATTTACATTGACAAACATATTCTTCGCTCACATTACATGTCCAGGGGCTGTGGGCAGTTGCTGCAGTTCGGCTCGGCTGCTCAGTCTGGGACCCAGGTGGAAGGAGTTAGTCCCGCATCGGGACTCCTGGCCAAGGGAAAGAACAGGACGCTCATCTACACAAGCATTGGCTCTTAAAGCTTCTACCAGACCTGTGTAGATCACGTTCACTCATGCTCCATTGACCAAAGCAAGACATGTGGCAAGGCTGACAGTGAAGTCACTCACCCTACAGGGAGGCACCACAGTCACTTGACAGTGGGCAGGGCTGTGTGTATGATCTGCTTACAGAGAAGGGAACAATATAGTAATTGACTTTAATCACCTTGCTCAAGTGACTTAACCTCTCCAGGCCTCAGTTTCATTATCTACAAATTGGGGAGATAATAGTTGTTTGGATCAGCAAGTGACCACATGTAAAGTAAGCCCAGTACATGCTGTGTGCTGTTTAATCATTAGCTGCTGCTGCTTTTATTATTATTCTCTCCTCCTCCATTTGGTATTCTTTTACTCAACCTACAAGACCCTACTCATAGAATCCTTTTCATGGTTCCTGCTCTTTTGGTTTCTTACCAGTCAACTCTGCCCTTCTAACACTCTGAGCTCAGTGGCAAAAGTTCAGGTTTGGGGCTGTGTTTGGGGTTGGGCAATGATAGACTTGCCTATTTGTTCATAGGTTCAGATAAGAAGAACTACACTCACAATGCAAAGTGTCTCTTCCCTTGTTCTAGGGTAGTGAATGTAACTTTTCCTTTTAACATCCTCAGAATAGCTGCCAGAGACACTACTTATGGATCATCCTCCTCCTTCTGTGCCCTTTTTAAAATCAGTGTTTGAGAAAGGAATTGATCACTGGATTCTTCTCAGTTCCAGCCAAGCCTGAATAGGGTTGTCATAACCAGTTCAGGATCAAATTTTGGATGCAGACTGAGTGGTAACAGCTTTAGGGCAGTATATCCTATAAACCACTCAATAGTCCAGTCTTCTTAGTCAAGTTTACTTCCTGTAGAAATCCTTGTCCAGAGCAAAAGCATTTGGGGCTGCTCCAAGGTCCATATACCCTGTTAGAGGCAGCTCTCAAACACCAGCTCATCAGAGTCCACGTCAGCTCTGATGAGTGGAAGACATCAGACTGATAAGGTTTTAAGGTGATCTGGGATATGGCTTATTTCTTTCATTTTTTGGCAGTTGTTGCTGTGTTGGATATAAGTAAGATTTTAAAAAAAAATTTTTTTTTGGTCAATTTGAATTCTTTTCCTTTCCCTTGTAGTGTAAGGCCAGCACTGGTGGACACCGATCTTCATGTTCATTCTGCAAGTGCCCAAGGGAAGGTGAGTGGTGGTAGAGATGGAGGTGGTAGTTTTTATTTTGTGCACTGAGCAAAACAAATTTCATGCTTTCCTTGGCTTCAAAGAGTGATCATCCCTAAATACAAGATGATCTGTAAAGCTCTTAAAAGTGCAGTGTGATAGCTAACTTCGTGTGACCTGTTAGTAAATCGTTTTGGATCTCAGAGTTCTGCCAGGGGAATGAGATGGGTTATGGGCTCCTTATCCATAACACAGCTGACCAGATGTCAGTAGTATTGTTACTCAGAATACATTTTAAGGATATTAGACTGAGAAGGAGTCTACATGGCATTAGTCCATGTGGACACCCCACCCACCCTACCCCAGCTTCTTTGAAGTTATTGGGAATAATTTGCTATTGTTATTATTTTCTCATTTACGTTCTAAACATTTGAGGATCTTCAACACAAAAACATTTGTTAAAGTAACAGTAAAAATATAAACAAGAGACAATAATCAGGATTGAGGGTTTGTGTTATTTTTATAGAGTAATAAACCTAACAGCTTCTCAGTAACTTGGTTTTAAAGTTAATTTCTCCTGAGAACCTGTAGGTAAACAACCTTGAAGAGTGTGTCAAGGCATCTGTAACAATAGTCCTATAACAATGACTGTTATGTGCCTCTTTCTGATATTATTCTGTAAGGAAAGCTAGTGCATGACCATAAAATACAGTTCAGTGCTGGGATCCTGTTAGTCTTCTGAAAGATCTGTTTGTTCCAAGGTTAGAACTTAGCATGCCTACAAAGAATTCCTTAGCTGGGCTTTTGGCCTATAGTGGAGATTCTACTCTCTAGTGAGGGCTGTGAAGCAGGTGTTCTGAAAATCTTTGGGGAAGGCTCTACATGCTCTAGAGACCAAACCAGCATATGGGAAGGTGAGTAAATAACTTCCCCATGGACAGGTTGGAGATTTTTAGCTTGTTGTATTACTTCAATTAGGCAAAATTGTACTTTTTCCCTTAAGAAAGACTTCTTTCTCAGTCTACTCTAACAAATGAACAGATGGTTTATAAAAACCCTTGAGCACCATACCACTAAGATGGCTGAAACAACTTTAACATGGAAACATACATAGGAAGTATTCATTGGTTGCCTGTCACTGCTGTTAAGTAATCTCTACACTGCTCCCATAGAATGTCTTTTTGAGCCTCATGACTTCCTCTAAGAATGAATTAATTGCAGAAATACCTCCAATTAACTGGACAAATTATCCTGCTTTAGAAAGAGATTTGAAATGAGTCATTTATATTTTGAAGGACATTTGCCCATTGTAATTATTTGCATATAAATGAGCTGTGTGCAGGTAGGTCTCTTCTTAGCTTCGCCGGAGAATAGGGTGTCTGGTTCTACAGAATTTGAGCAGCTATCTTAGTACCGTAACACTGGAAGAAGCAAGGCCCCTAGCCATACACGTTTGAGATAAGTGTTTCTAGCAAACTTCTAGCAAGGGCCATATCTTTGGTAATTTTGTCCCCAGATCTGTTCTATCATTGGTTATAATAATAAAGATCAGGGTCTCATGAAAGATTTAAATGTTGGGGAAGTGATAGAAAACTCGTAAGATTAAATTTTTTAAATACTGGGTAGTTTCTTCTGTTAACTATTTTATATGCTGTCTTATTAGCCATGCTTAAAGTCTGTCAGAGGACTTTTTTGTAGGTATTTCTTTGACTTTTAAAACTATTCCAGGGAATTCCCTGGTGGTCCAGTGGTTAGGACTTGGTGCTTTCACTGCTGTGGCCCAGGTTCAGTCCCTCGTCGGGGAACTAAGATCTCTCATGCCACGTGGTGCAGCGAAACAAAACAAAATAAAAGCATTCCAGTATAAGTATTTGGTGGCAGGTAAGGAGGAATCACAGTGTTTGGGGGGATAAAACCTGTTGGAGATTCTCTTTCTGTTCTGTTCCTCTAGCGACAGAGGCCAAGCAAGAATTAATAACCTACCCTCAGCCTCAGAAAACATCCATACCAGTACCGTCAGAAAAACAACCCAGCCAACCAAGGTCAGCTGATAAGGAATCTGAACCCAAGAAGCGGGAAGAAGGACAAGAACCACGCTTGGGACATCAAAAGAGAGAAGCAGAAAGGTATCTCCCTCCTTCGCGGAGGGAAGGGCTCACCTTCCGAAGAGACCGAGAGAAGGAGCCATGGTCTGGGGAGACACGCCAGGATGGGGAAAGCAAAAGTAAGTGGTTTGTTGGGGCATGTACCAGACCGTGACCACTGTGGTTGGAACATAGATTGCTTGTGTTGTGGCTCTGGACCAGCAGCTTCCTACACCCTAGTAAAACTGCTCGGCCTGATTGAAGAGGCTCTTGCTTTTCCCGGCCTCTCTGAAGTAATCTATATCTTCCAAATAGCAAGTTGCTATTCAGATGCAGCAAAGCATAACTTTAGATATCTAAGTATTGGGGAAGAAAAATATGAAGTATTTGACTAGCATTTTGTTATAGAACCAGCCTTGGTAGAGCAGGGTAACATCTGCAGTCATCTGCAGTAAAAAAAAAAATACACACACACACACACGCGCGCGCGCGCGCACACGCGCACACACACACACACACTCTCTCAGGCTCTGAGGACTTCAAAAATGTAAACCTTTCTCTCTCTCTCCTTTCTCCTCTCCCATTTGTGCTTGGTTTGTTCAGCAATCATGCTAAAACGCATCTATCGTTCCACTCCACCTGAGGTGATAGTGGAAGTGCTGGAGCCCTACGTCCGCCTTACTACTGCTAACGTCCGTATCATCAAGAACAGAACAGGCCCCATGGGCCACACCTATGGCTTTATTGACCTTGACTCCCATGCGGTGAGTCGTAGTTATCCGTCACCACCACCCCCGCCCCCTGGATCCCTCACCTCCTACTACCTCAGCCAGGGATGGCTGGCTATAGAAACCTCCAGAAGGTTTGAAGGACTTTAATCTTGGAATTCTCATTTGCTACTTGGTACCATAACCCCTCTTACTCTTTTCTTGGGGTTCATTCAGGTGAAATGACTGCCCTTGAAAGTTGGAACTCTGAGTGGTTTTCCAGATCCATTTTTGTCTTGTGGCATTTACAGTTTCCAGTTAAAATAAAGTGACAGCTTAGTCACTTGTGGAAAATCTGAGGACTAAACCTTTTCAAGATTTTAGTGAATTTTCTGATTTCTTAAAATCATTTTGCCTGGCCACAGACAGTTTTATGTTTGATGGAAACAGAGCATTTCCTCTTTTTCCTCAAAGTGTTGCTTTAATAGATTTCTTGTGGCTTGAAGTTTTAGTTGTGGGGCCCTTTTCTATGGAAGTAATGTGAGGATAGCAATGAAAATCATTGATATTTCTTAGATTTCACAGGATAGCAATGAAAATCATTGATATTTCTTAGATTTCATGCTCAGAAATCACAAGAGACTTTGTAAACTGAATCTGATGCAATGACAGTTGCAGACTAGAAGAGGATTTGAATTTCTGAAATTTATACCAAGAACTGATGTCTACTCTGACCATTATTCTGATCAACCCTTCATTAAGAGTTGCCTGTTTTTGCCAGTGTGCTCTTAGTATTACAGTTATGACCAGAACATAATGTTTAGAAATTTTTCTTTTTTTTTTGCGGTATGCGGGCCTCTCATTGTTGTGGCCTCTCCCGTTGCGGAGCACAGGCTCAGCGGCCATGGCTCACGGGCCCAGCCGCTCCGCGGCATGAGGGATCTTCCCGGACCAGGGCACAAACCTGTGTCCCCTGCATCGGCAGGTGGACTCTCAACCACTGCGCCACCAGGGAAGCCCTAGAAATTTTTCTTTTGAGAAGGAAAATCCATGTTCAGTTTTCTTTCAAGGGACATGTCCTTTTCCCTCTTTGGGTTCAAATGAGTCTTTGCTTCCCCAGGAAGCTCTTCGCGTAGTGAAGATCTTGCAGAACCTTGATCCACCATTTAGCATTGATGGGAAGATGGTAGCTGTAAACCTGGCCACTGGAAAACGAAGGTAAAGCAGAGGGGTGCTACCCCCACTCAGGTTTTTGGGAGGAAACTCTTATTCCTGGCTGGAGAGACAGGTAGTAAAACGTGGTGCTTTCCCAGTATGAGTTGCTTCAGGTACGTGTGTATGTTTTCTTTTTCTGAAGCTTGCCTTGTTCTGACTCTAGGTTTTTGTTTTTCTCTTTAAATAGCAGTACTAGGTACTTCTGTTTTTTCCCTCTTGATTCTCTGGTATCTTTGGGTCCCAGGTGATGGTACAGTCTTGGATGTGCAGGGAAAAAATTGCAATATATGCTTGCCCCTTGGAATCCTAAGAAAATGCTGTCTTGACTTTGTTCATACCCCCATAGTGCTGGGAAATCTTATTCTTCTTTACTCCTTCATTCATCTTGACCCAGGAGTGGTAACTGGGAAATGGCTGCATCAGAGAGGCAAGCTTACAGGGATGGGGCAGATCTTGCTCTGGCACCCTCAACTCAGTTGCTGTTTTGCTTCAGCCGATAGCTTTGTAGGAGTCCCACTGCCCCTCCCCTCGGGAGTCTCTGCATCACCAGACTTGCTTACTGTCTGGGTTGGTTCCTTTCCATACAAAAGAGGGAAAAGAGTTTCTCAGCAAATCTGTAGGGTTGGGCACTCCTCAAGTGGCTTTTGGTAGCAGGCTCAAGACATGTTGTATTGTTTGTTGCAGAAATGATTCTGGGGACCATTCTGACCACATGCACTACTATCAGGTAGGCTTCAGCAGTTGGGGGGTGCTCTATTAAAATCCTCAAGTGACTGAAAGAGTGATCTTAAATTTTCTCTAGTGGGTAATTGTTAAGGTAAATGGCTATCAGAAGTTCCATAATTTTAACTTGTCTTTCTGTGATAGGGTAAAAAATATTTCCGAGATAGGCGGGGAGGTGGCAGAAATTCAGACTGGTCTTCAGATACAAATCGACAAGGACAACAGTGTGAGTGACCTTTGTCTTATTTCTATTGTTCTTTTTGGCTTGACTACTCATTCATTGAAATCTTCATGGTCACAAAGTTGGCAAGAGATGCAGTTGACTAGGGGTTATGTCTCAGAGAGCATCGTCTACAGGTTCTGTACTGTTTTGGGTTGGGCAGCCTCGTTCTTAGATTGTTCTTGATGAGTCCCCAGCAAGGGCTTCATTGGACAGGGACTAACACTGGCTCTGGTTTTATTCCCTCTAGCTTCATCTGACTGCTACATATATGATTCTGCTACTGGCTACTATTATGACCCCTTGGCAGGAACTTATTATGACCCCAATACCCAGGTGAGTTTTTGGCTTTGTTATTTTGTCAGTGATTCTTTTGAGAAAAGTACCTGTGATTTGTTACTTTGAAGGTTTTATTCCCTGTATTCTCTGGTTGCTCATTACATGAAAAGTATAAAAGTTTACATCTATATAAGCTGAATATTTCTCCATTCAAGGCAGCTGCTCCACTGTTGTACTATGTGTACCTCATGTCTACTTCTTGTTTTAAAAAGTCCAGGTTTTATATTGAGTTATATTTATTTAGGTGGATTTTAAAGATGATAATCTTCATGTTAACTGTTGTACATATAGAAAATCAATGCGTTGTGGCATTACAGGCAAGAACAGTGCTGTTCTTGGAAAAATGGACAGTGAGTGGTCTGGCTACATCCTGGCCCCTGAAGTGGAGTTTTCGATTGTTTGATATGGTCTCTTCTTAGGCTTGAGGGAGAGAGCTGTTCTTTCCCTCAGAAGGGAACTGTGCTCCTTAGATCTGGAATTACTGGGAAAGTAAAACGTTCTGTAGACTTAACTGTTTCCAACTGTATTGCAGCAAGAAGTCTATGTGCCCCAGGACCCTGGGTCACCTGAGGAAGAAGACATCAAGGAAAAGAAACCCACCAGTCAAGGAAAGTCAAGCAGCAGGAAGGAAACGTCTAAAAGAGATAGCAAGGAGAAAAAAGACCGAGGAGTGACAAGGGTAAGATGACTTGTGAATCTGCTCCCTTTTCACCACATAATTACAGATTAAAAGAAAAGAGTCATAGACGAGGTCTGGGTTTGAGGTGTAGAGTTACTAAAAAAGCAGGCAGTCCACTAGCCTCTTACAGCCTGTCGTCACTCTCTTTTCTAAATACAGAAACTGTGGATGGTGGAACAAAGTGGCTCAGCTCAAACCCCAATACCTCAGCTCCACACAGTTTCACTTTCCTACATCCCTTTTCAGGGCTTGACTCCGTATACACACTTCTATAGGCAGGGGATACCATTTTCTATTCTTTATTCACTTTATATTTGATCATAAGTATTTTTTCATGTTTGTATAATACTCTTTATTACTTCCATGCCTGTATGGTAAAAATTCATAGTAAAACTGTGACCTTGTTTTCTTCATCATTCCTACATTGTTTGTCTCTTCTTTCTAATCTTATTCTGTTATAATATACAGCATTTAACATTTTATTTTTTCTTTTTTAAATTACTTCCTTAGGATAAGTTTTCAAGAACAAAGATGATGAACATTTTTACATTTCCTGACATAAAATCAAATTGTTTTCCAAAGAATTATATTGATTCACCCTGACACCAGTTATGCATTAATGCAAATGGATGAATTAGCCTGTGGCTTAATTCATAACTTGTCTTTTTTTTCCCCCCCCTTCTAATACTACTAGTGTTTATGCAGATACATATATATAGAGAAAGAATCTGTCTGAGAACTTTTTTCTTCTAATTTTGTTGAGATATAATTAATATACAGCACTGTATAAGTTTAAGGTATACAGCATAATGATTTGACTTATATACATGATGAAATGATTACCACAGTAAGTTTAGTGAACATCCATTGTCTCATAAAGAAACAAAATAAAAGGAAAAAAATGTTTTTTTCTTGTGATGAGAACTCTTCAGATTTATCCTCTTAACAGCTTTCATATATAACATACAGCACTGTTCATGTCTAGTATTTATGTATATTATAATTGGAAGTTCTTACCTTTTGACCACCTTCATCCAATTTCCCCACCCCCTACTCCCACCCTGCCTCTGGTAACTACAAATCTGATCTCTTTTTCTTTGAGTTTGTTTGTTTGTTTGGGTGTTTTGTTATGTTTTTCTTTTGTTTCCCTACAACACTATGTTAGTTTTGGTTCACAACATAGTGATTCAAAATTTCTATACATTACAAAATGATCACCACTGAAAACTTAGACTTTAAAGTTATACTGGCTTAATATGTGGGTTTTTTTTTGTTTTCTTTATAAATTTATTTATTTTCATCTGTGTTGGGTCTTCATTGCTGCGTGCGGGCTTTCTCTAGTTGCGGCGGGTGGGGGCTACTCTTCATTGCAGTGCGCAGGCTTCTTATTGCGGTGGCTTCTCTCGTTGTGGAGCATGGGCACGCAGGCTTCAGTAGTTGTGGCACATGGGCTCAATAGTTATGGCTCATGGGCTCTAGAGCATGGGCTCAGTAGTTGTGGTGCACGGACTTAGTTGCTCTGCGGCATGTGGGATCTTCCCAGACCAGGGATCAAACCCATGTACCCTGCATTGGCAGGCGGATTCTCGACCACTGTGCCACCAGGGAAGCCCCTGGCTTAATACTTGGATTCTGCTTTTGCCCCTTATTCTTTCTAACCATATTCTCAATCATTTGTAAAATGAGCATATTGATGCCTATTTAGAAGGATTATAGTAAAGGCTGAAGGAGATAATGTATATAAATGCATCATCTGGTGCCTGACATATAGTAATCACTCAATATATACTAAATGTGATGTTTTTAAAGTTTTTTTTTTTAATTTTGGAATCATTATAGTAACATTACAGATATTTCACAAATTAAGAGGTTTGGAAAATCAGACTCATTTCAACAGGGTTAACTCTAAACCCAGCTTTTATAAGTATCATATAAAAATTATCTGGGATTTTGATCAGTTTCAGGAAAATGCCAGTGAGGGGACAGCTCCCCCAGAAGATGTCTTTAAGAAGCCTCTGCCTCCCACTGTGAAGAAGGAAGAGAGTCCTCCACCAGTAAGGCTAAGCTGATGCACTGGGCTAGGGCTGGGGCTGGTTCCGAATGGGAAGGGAAGTTCAAAGGTTGATGCCTCACTTTGGTGTTGGTCCTTTAGCTCTCTGTGTCTCACAGACAAGACTCTTCTTGAGTATAAGCATGAGGTAAATTTTCCTGTCTGCTAATAGGGGTATTGATGGAGAATCAAAGGCAGTTATCTGTCCTCTTTCCCTCTGCCTTGTGACATTCCCACCAGACTGGCTCTTTTTAAGTTAGAATCTCGGTCTTGTTAATTCTTCTCTTCTAAATGACCAAGGAAACCCATTTTCCTGGCCCTGATGTTTCCTACCTTTTGGTGCTGCATGAGAATCTCTTAGATGTCGAGTGCATGCATGGTCATTTTTATAGTTTGCCTCCAGAGTGAACAATGCTAACATTCGTACCCATTTTTTAGATGCCTTTAAGTGATAGTGTCAATCTAATCACAAGTTATTTCGATTAAATACAAATATATAACAATAGAGACCCTCTGTTTTTATTTTGATTGATCATATGCCAGTGATCATGCATCATTATTTAACATTTCCTATAAGCTACTGATCAATACTTTTTGCCTGCTCTACATTATTGATTCAGTTCACTATAACATCTGTCCTAACCATGCCTTTGTCTTTGCCTTACTCAGGAACTGAATCTGTCTACCTGAGTGTTTATCCTTCAGTTGCTTTTAGTCCATCTCCTAAATCTCTTTTGCTCTAGGAGTTACTGTAGCCTTGATGAAAGTTATCTTTCCTTTTCTCCATGGGTTACAGTGACTTGGAGGTGGTTGCTATCTCTGCCTCTTCAAAAGTAACTTTTAAACTCTCCCTGTGGTCTCTGTCAGTTTCCCTTTCTCTTCCTTCTCATCACTGTTCTGTTGCTAGAGTCACTCCTAAGGGAAACTTTCTGGCTTATCTCAGTGGACAAGGAGAACAGTCAAGCTCGAGCCATGTTGCTTCCATCTGGGAAATGAGCAACATGGTCAGTGGGCCTGTTTTGAACCCAGTTCATTATTCAGGCTAAAAGAAATGAGATGCCCATATCAGAATATCCAGAAAACAGGCCCCAAATATAGGTTGAGTTTGCGTTAATCCCTGGCCTTCTCCTACCAGCCTAAAGTGGTAAACCCACTGATCGGCCTCCTGGGTGAATATGGAGGAGACAGTGACTATGAGGAGGAAGAGGAGGAGGAGCAGACCCCTCCTCCACAGCCCCGCACAGCACAGCCCCAGCAGCGGGAGGAGCTGACCAAGAAGGAGAATGAAGAAGACAAACTCACTGACTGGAATAAACTGGCTTGTCTGCTCTGCAGAAGGCAGTTTCCCAATAAAGAAGTTCTGAGCAAACACCAGCAGCTTTCAGACCTGCACAAGGTATTAAGGGAAGGGCCCTGACCTTTCGAACTTTTGACTCTTTATCACTGTTGAGCATTACAGTGACTAAAGAAGCTTATGCTGTCCTCCTCAGCCTGTATCTTCCCCAACTCCTCTAATTAAATCAGTTTAATTCAAAAATGAGTTGCTGGGACTTCCCTGTGGTCCAGTGGTTAAGACTTCACCTTCCACTGCAGGGGCCGCAGGTTCGATCCCTGGTTGGGCAATTAAGATCCCACATGCCATAAAGCGCGGCCAAAAAAAAAAAAAAGACAAAAATGAGTTGTTCCTCCACCTTTTGTTCATGAGTTGCTCTACATTAAGATGGTGCCTACCTTCAAAAAACTTCAGGGTGTAGACCCAAGGCAAGCATCATGGCTGTGGCTGGGGCACCAAACATGGAAGCTGTGCTGAAGACAGGAGGAGAAGGGGTCGTGGAAAAGGAAACTCACCTGCTGGGTTTCTCATCTTAGCTCTACCATTAACCTAAGAGTTGGACTTCAGATAAGGCCCTTTTCTTCTTTGATACTTGGTGGCTTCACCTGGTTCCATCTAGCTCTGACAGTGTGTGGTTTTCCCCAAGGGTGAGTCACATTCTGCCATCTCTTCATGTAGTGAGTTATTGCTATAAGCCATGGCACAAAAACTATTCTTGGGGTGTTAAACTGACATACATTGGTCCTCCCTTGCAGTCTTCTCATTTATATGTACTGGCCAAGGAGCCAAATTCTGGACAAGTAAAGCCCCTAGATGGACTCGTGTTCTCAGTATAAAGTAATTTCTTTCACACTCCTTTTCCAGCAGATGTTGCTAGAGCACGTGAGGGGATAAGATTTAGACTTTCTCTCAATATAAAACCCAAAGTCCTATGTAGCTAAAAGCTGAAAAGCTCTGCTTTCATGATAGGCACACCTCTTCTTCCAGCTGCCTCTGTTGAGGCTCTGCAAAGTTTCTAGGATTCTGAGAGGCTCCTTCTGACAACCCCTGCAACAGACTACCTCCAAGTTCCTTTGACCTTCTGGAATTCTGAGTCATCAGACAAAACATTTAAAATTCAGCTCTCTTATGAAAGTGCTAATAAATTGCTAAAGAGATTAAAAAGTTGTTGTCAGGAAAGAGGAGCCAGAGGTCTGATGAATCCACAAACTGAACTAGCCCTGGGACAGTGGAACGTGGACTATAGCACTTTTCCTTTCCTTGCAGTAATCCAATGCAAAGAATCCCCTTTCTGTACAAGAGCTGCTCTGGACACCTTAAGTTTCTTATATATGCCAGAAGGAGCCACGCTTCAGGAGTGTAGGACCCTCAAGGAGTACAGGACTCTCAGAGAAATCTGTTCATTTGTGACCTTGGAGTTCCTTTTCCTGTTTCTCTGTGGGCTTGAATAGTGCCCACAGAGAATAGTATCTGAGGATGGCAGGTGGTAGTGGTGGTAGGCAGAGCATGTGGGCATTTGGTTTTCTTCACTGGTGTAGTCAGATTCCCCTCTCCCATTTTTACCTTAGGTAAAGAGATATAAACCAGATTTGTGTCTTCTACACTTTGGAGAGAAGTAGGATAAAATTCTGTCTTGTGTCACAACATGTAACTAATCTATGTGACAAGCCAGTGTTAGAACCTGGGTTCCCATTGGTGAGCCTAACGCAAGACCAGTTAGGGATTGTTGCTTGCATGGTGCCGTGATCACTTGGGAGGGTTGGTCAGTGAAAGGAGCTACAGTCCTAGAGCAGCTATCAGGAAAGGCCTAGAGCATTTCTAGGACCACTTTTTTTAGACCTACACTCATAGAATTCCCTCTCTTCTCAGCAAAACCTGGAAATCCATCGGAAGATAAAACAGTCTGAGCAGGAGCTAGCCTATCTGGAGAGGAGAGAACGGGAGGTAAGATTTGGTGACTTGTTACTCCCTTGACCCCCAACTCTTTTTGCTTTCTGGTATAGCATTTGTAGGCTGTGCTGAAGATAAAGAACGAAGAAGCCCCAAAAGATGGTGTATATATTTCTCAAAACTCATCAAACTACATTAAAGTGGGTACATTTTATAGTTTATAAATTATACCTTAGTAAAGTTGCTTTTTTTAAAGGTGATGTTAGGGTCTTTGGGTAGGTGAAATAACATTCCTCTTTCCTGCCCAGCTTTTAAAATCAATGAAGGAGTGTTGGATAGGGCTGCTGAAATAGCATCTTTTACTGTTAAAGGCCAAGTTGGAGGAAGTAGCTTAGAGTGAGAGGCAAATGGACTTGCTATCTAGACCAATTAGGCAGACTCACTTACCCAGCTACAGGCTTCACTGGCCCATGACAGGTCTTATGTGACGGTCAAGAATCCACCTGTGGAGGCGTATTGGAGAGCACCTCCTCCTCAGAAGAGGAAAAGATAGCCTCTTCTTCCCAAATTTACCAGTTAGAGAAGCCACTACTTTCTCAAGAAGAATGTTTGAAGGAATGAGAGATTCCAGGAGTTACCAGTTGAATCCCTTCACATTAGAAGAAATATCGGGAATAAAGTGAAGCTTTCGCACTCTCCCACCCCCTCAGATGGGAGTCTCAGATCTGTTCTTCTGCTTACCAACAGGGAAGGTTTAAAGAAAGAGGAAATGATCGCAGGGAAAAGCTCCAATCTTTTGATTCTCCAGAAAGGAAACGAATTAAATACTCCAGGGAAACTGACAGGTAAGCTAGAAACTCTTCACTCAGCCTAGGTCTCAAGCCTAATGATGAAACCATCACTTTCTTTAACATGCTGCCTTTTTCTCTCTCGGGGAGTGAGGTTATCGGGAGCAGGTTCTGTCTGAACTCTTGAGCATGAAGTTCACCCCAGCCTTTTTACCACCTGTCTTAACACAGGGAATATGTATGTTTGCATGTAAGAATCACTGGCTACTTAGCTGCTCAAAACCAGGGCTGGAGTGGCTATAGTTGGGAACCCTTTCTCTCCTCATCAGTAACACTGTACCTCCGTATTAGCCTGATAAGAATGTCACACTCTTGGACTTTTTTCTCTAGGGAACCTCCATTCTCACACATTAGGTGCTGAATAAATGGTTGGCTGCTGATAGAAATATATGATCTCTAGCTTCCTGTGCTTGTTTCTGGTCAGAGAGCTCCCAAGTTGTGAGTCCAGAGTTATACAGAATTTGCTGATAGCCCACTGTGTACAGGTACTGCACCAAGGGCAAGGAATATTCATGTGGACAAGACACGTATTATCCTTGACTGTCTGAACAGGGAATAGGAAGGCTTAGGTGGTACTTTGTCTTGTAGGGCAGACACAGAAATCCGGTGGAGAAGGGGAGGGCATTTCAATTGGAGGGAACTGCATGCTTCATGGATGAAAGAGAGAGAGGTCATGATGCATTTGAGAAGCTGTAAGTAGCTTGATGGGCTGAACACTGAAGATAAGTGGTTGAGTGACAAGGAGATGAGGCTGGCTCAACAGACACAGTCCAGTTCTTGAAGTTCATGCTCCTTTAACACCTTGCTAAGACTTTGTCTTAGGGCAGTGGGAGGTTATGAAATGGTTTTAGGCAGGGTATTGATCTAGTGAAACTTGAACAAGTCTCTACATTGGTAAGCAAAAGAACTAGTAGCGAGGGTAGAGTATGCCTGTGGGGAAAGGGGAGATAATTGATGGAGAAAGTCCCCTAAGAAGTCTAGGTGGGGTCTGGGGCTCTGGCATTCCAACTTATTTGTTCACAGCCCTCAATAAGAGATTATTTTGAATCATGGCCCAGAATATATGTATGTGTGTAAATAACTGAAAAAGAAATCTTCATGAAAAATACTTCCTTACTGTGCAATAAACGCTGACATTTTTATTTTAGTCTATTCTATTCGCATTTGTAAGCAGTGCTAAGTTGGGACCACTTAATCAATGTAGCATCCCATTGGGTCATTCTCTGCAATTTGAAATACACTGAACGATGACAAAACTGAAGGAGTCAGCCAGGAGGAGGAAGAGCACCTTAGCCCTGAGTCAATTGGCTGTAGCTGGGTGTAGAAAGAGATGCCTCTCTATTCTCAGCACCCATCACATCACATTCTACTGGCTCTCCTCCTTCTAAGTCTTCTCTCCTGCTCCTCTTCCTTTTCTGGGTTATTCCAGATATTCTCCAGGACTCTGCCCTCAGTTTTCCTTTATTCTTGCTCCTCCATCCTCTTGACTTGGACTGCCTACGGTACCCAAGGCTTTAGCCACCACTCACAGGCTAACAAGTCCTATGGCTCCATCTCAAGTCATTTCTGTTTTCTGAGCTCAAAATCATTATTTCTGTTTACCTTCTGGGCATATCCTCTTGGCCACTCCTCAGCCTCCTCACACTAAACAATTACTCAATATTATATTCCACATTATTTTCTAGTCCAGTCCTGCTAAACCTGCTGTATTCCTATTTCAGAGTAGTAACATCATCGCATCATGGTCTACCTGGTCTGTCCCAATCTTCCTCCTTTATCCTCTGTATCGTTAGTGGCCACATCCATAATTAAGCCTTGCCCCAATTCCTAGCTCACCTCCAAACTGGACTGCTTACTCCCCATCTTTGCTCTTCAGTCTTTCTACCCTACCATCAAAATGACCTTTATAAACAGAAATCTCCTAAAACTAGCCTTTTTGTGAACATATACCTTGCCTAAAGGGAGGCCTGGGTTCTAGAGATTCTTTGCCTGAAGTATGAAGTACAGAGTCATGATTTAGCATGATGTTCAAGGCTTTTCACAATCTGGCTCAAGCAGCCTTTTATCAATTCCTGCCACTCTTCCTCTGGACAAATTGTATTCTTTCACTTCTCCTTGCTTGTGTCCTCCTTTCCTCCCATGCTTTTTCTAGCTCACAACCTCCTCATTTGTTAAGACCCAGTTCAGGTATACCCTCCTGTTAGAATTCCTCATTTTTGGTGATGCCCCTTCAGGTTTGTGTTCCCTGTTTGTATTTCCATAGTAGGTATATACTGTTGCTACATCCATGGCTGAGCTCTTCAATGTGCTGTAAGCATCTATTCACATATTATCCTTCTCACATCCTTCCCCATGAACAGAGTCAGGTCTTGGTCATCTCTGTATCCTCAGGACAAAGCCAGTTTCATAGATAGCAGGCACTCAAAGATACTGTTTAATATTCTTAAGAGGAGGCAAATCTGAATCAAGAGGACAGAGGTTTTTATTGGGCTCACAAGCATGTCACTTTGAAAGTGCTGGTGTCTAAGTATGTATGCTTCTTTTGCAGTGATCGTAAGCCTGTTGGTAAAGAAGGCATCGACAATAGCAGCAAAGGAGGCTGTGTCCAACAGGCCACTGGCTGGAGGAAGGGGGCAGGCCTCGGATATGGCCATCCTGGATTGGCTTCAGCAGAGGAGGTGAAATGGTTTCCATCTTGTTAGGGGTGGCATGAACCTGGCATATACTTAGTTTCCTCTCATTCTGTGGCCCAGAGCTATGTCCTTGCCTATTAGCTGGGCTTTCACCACTGCTGGCAAAGAACGTGAGAGCTGAGAAGCCTGTCAGTCTTTTTTTTTTTTTTTTAAAAAAGAAGATGTCGGGGGTAGGAGTTTATTAATTTATTTTTACTGTGTTGGGTCTTCGTTTCTGTGCGAGGGCTTTCGCTAGTTGTGGTAAGCGGGGGCCACTCTTCATCGCAGTGCACGGGCCTCTCTTGTTGCGGAGCACAGGCTCCAGACACGCAGGCTCAGTATTGTGGCTCACGGGCCTAGTTGCTCCGCGGCATGTGTGTTCCTCCCAGACCAGGGCTCGAACCCATGTCCCCTGCATTAGCAGGCAGATTCTCAACCACTGCGCCACCAGGAAAGCCCCGAAGGCTGTCAGTCTTTTTTTTTCTTTTTTTTACATCTTTATTGGAATATAATTGCTTTACAATGGTGTGTTAGTTTCTGTTTTATAACAAAGTGAATCAGTTATACATATACATATGTTCCCATATCTCTTCCCTCTTGCATCTCCCTCCCTCCCACTCTCCCTATCCCACCCCTCCAGGGGGTCACAAAGCACTGAGCTGATCTCCCTGTGCTATGCGGCTGCTTCCCACTAGCTATATATTTTACGTTTGGTAGTGTATATATGTCCATGCCATTCTCTCACTTTGTCCCAGCTTACCCTTCCCCCTCCCCATATCCTCAAGTCCGTTCTCTAGTAGGTCTGTGTCTTTATTCCTGTCTTACTCCTAGGTTCTTCATGACATTTTTTTTTCTTAAATTCCATATATATGTGTTAGCGTACGGTATTTGTCTTTCTCTTTCTTTTTTTTTTTTAACATCTTTATTGGGGTATAATTGCTTTACAATGGTGTGTTAGTGTCTGCTTTATAACAAAGTGAATCAGTTATACATATACATATGTTCCCATATCTCTTCCGTCTTGCGTCTCCCTCCCTCCCACCCTCCCTATCCCACCCCTCCAGGCGGTCACAAAGCACCGAGCCGATATCCCTGTGCCATGCGGCTGCTTCCCACTAGCTATCTACCTTACGTTTGTTAGTGTGTATATGTCCATGACTCTCTCTCGCCCTGTCACAGCTCACCCTTCTCCCTCCCCATATCCTCAAGTTCGTTCTCCAGTAGGTCTGTGTCTTTATTCCTGTCTTACCCGAAGGTTCTTCATGACATTTTTTTTTCTTAAATTCCGTATATATGTGTTAGCATATGGTATTTGTCTTTCTCTTTCTGACTTACTTCACTCTGTATGACAGACTAGTCCTGGGTCCCATGAAGGGCCTCACCCCTCATGTTTAAGGAAAAGAAGAGAAGATAGAAAAGGTGATAAGAGGGAACCCTCTCCATTTTGTGTTGTCTTAGTCCCTGTCTGAAAATGCCACATATATGAGATGGGCTTCTCATATTTCTGGTGTTGAATCCTGTATCCTGAAATCATGGCATCGCCACCCTCCTTATTCATCTTGAGTGTTTGTTTATTAAGCATTCTTTAAAAATTCTCCTATATCCTGCTCCTTACTAGTCCAGAAATGCTTATAGTCAAAGACCAGCCCTGAGGCTAATTAATTCATAGAGCTCACTTCATTGTTTGTCTTTGTTTTACAGACTGAAAGCCGGATGAGGGGTCCCAATGTGGGAGCTCCAGGAAGAACCAGCAAGAGACAGTCCAATGAGACTTACCGAGACGCTGTGCGAAGAGTCATGTTTGCTCGGTATAAAGAACTCGATTAAAGAGTGGAGACAAGTCCCACAGGACACAGCCTCCTTCTTGTTTTGTTTGTCCGTCTCTCCTTTTGTTTTGTTACTGTTCTTGCTGCTAGAACTTTTTTAAATAAACTTTTTTTCAATGTGACTTCTTTTGGTGGTTAAATTTTTCTCCCATGGGTGGGGGGGTGGGGCTAATGGTAGGAGGAAGAGAGTCCCTTGGTGTGGGTCCATTTGAGGTGACGCTGAAATGGCAACAAGGGCTGTAGTGAGCCCTGGAACAGTGCCTGCTATCAGTGTGAGTGGACTGGTTGCAGTGACCGTTGAACTCTGGCTTGTACGAATACTGTCAGATTTTTAAAAATTATTTTCCTAATCTAATTAGTGAAAATAGCATCACACATTATTGTAACTGCTAAGGCTGAACATATTTCCATATGTTGGTTTACTAGTCATTAGACCTTCAGAAGTCCTCTTCTGACTTTGTTGGGGGACGGGGGGAGGCAGTGTTGTGACAGCTCTTTTTCTGAGTGTCTGCTGGATGTTCACTGCTTCACACATTGTGGTCACCACAGCAAGTTGGCATAATAAGAATTACCACTTCTCTCCAGCCACTGCCCCAGCTTTTCCTTTCCTCCATGGCTAGAACTCTCCAAAGAGATGTCTGCCCTCTTTCAAATCTTTATTGCCCACCATATCAGTCATACCATTTCACAGAATTTGCTTCAAAAGTGAGTTTTTTGTGTGTTTTTAATTCTTTATAGTTAAAAAGACTGCTATATCCTAGGCATCTATTAAAACTTTAAAAAATAATTTCTCAAGGGAACATATGGTACTAAGAATTGCACTTTTCAGGTATCTCAGGGGAAGAATGTTTCTTAGAACTGCATGTTTTGAAGAACATCTTGATTGTATAAGGTAGGGGTTTGTGAACTTTTCTGTAAAGAGCCAGAGAGTCAATATTCTAGACTTCATATTATAGGTCATATGATCTCTGTTGCAACTACTCAGCTCTTTTGTAGTAAGAAAGCAGCCACAGGCAATACACAAACAAGTGATTCTGGCTGTGGTCCAATAAAACTTTATTTACAAAAACAGGTCACAGGCCAGAATTGGCCCAGGGGTTGTGGCTTTTCCCAACCCTTGGTCTAACGACATAGTCTGGATGCATAAGGCAGGACCAAGGAGGGTTTTGTAAAAATTGAGTGGGAGTATTGGCATTTTGGAGAGGATGAGCAGTGAGGGGTGGGAGAGGTAAGGAGAGGTGGGAGTATACCAAGGAGAAAACATTTCTAGCAACAGGAATGGTAAATGTGAATTTAAATTGTTTGCCATGCTGTGTCCAAATATCCCTTTCTCTTAATCTTTAATGTATCTTTTTACCCCTTCGAAAAAGGAAAACAAACAGGAGTACATTGGCTTAGGGATCAAAAGCCCCTAGTTCTGGGCCTTGCTACCATTAGTGCAGCATTTTAGAAGATGGGCTATTTGGATCTTTCAGCCCCAGACAGATGTACTCCAAGAGCCCTTCTGGTCTAACTGTTGGTCTGCAGGTGCATCTATGGTGTGTCCAGTTACTCTCTGTCTGACCTTCACTGAATAGGTCAAAACATTTTTTGGAAGTTTCCAAATTTGTCCTGAACTGGTCAGACTAGGTTTTCCTCCTAACTTTGTGTCACCCTGTTTGGCTGTGAAACACATCCAATGCTTCAGTATTGAAGATCCTGTAGAGGCTACTTGGTTGACCCAGGTTATTGGCTGCCCAGCAGTAGCATCATCAAGTTATTAAGTGGTCATTGAATGTTTTGAAAGCCTACTTGTTACTGGGCTTATAGCAAGATCAGTGTGGGTCTCTGTGACCATGGGACTCAGTCCTCTGGGGAAGATGGACGTTGCACAATTTCTGATGTGATGAGAGATGCAAGGGAGAAGTATAGCAAGCTACTGGGATGGTATGACACGGACTTAATTCTCATTTGATGGCAGCAGCATCTTCTCTGATGTGTTTAAACTCAGACCTCCGGACTAGTTTAGGCCACTGCCTAGTTTTGTTTTGGTTTGTCTTCTGGTTTTATTTTGCCACTTTCGTGGAGATTTTATGGTTGGAAATAAGGTCTAAAGTATTTCATACATTTTTAAAGCAGTACTTTGGGTATTGTATGAAACTCGGAATGGGTGTGAAAAGTATGTCACCCTAAGATGTCCCTAGGAGGTTCCCTGAGTCCTCTGATCAGAATGCCAGCTACATAAGGGCAGAGATCTTGGGTAATTTTCTTCACTACTATATCCCTAGGGCCTGGCCCAGGGCCTAACACAGTTGGCACCCAATAAATGAGTGAATAATGCTGAACTCATAGGTCTATGGTAAATACTTGTTGAATTAAATTTTGATTGCATATCTCTCAGTTTAAGCCCATCTCTGACAAAATTAAATATTTTGGTTTCTTGGTATAGGCAAGAGTTCTCACGTTGTCTTTTTTTTTTTTTCTTCCCCACATGAGCCTTTTTACTAATTCTAAAGCAGTAGTTCCCAGCCTGGGACCAAAACATGTGAACTAGTTTTTTTTTTTTGTCAAGTGGTGAGAAATTAAGAAAAAGACCTAAGATCGTTTCATTAAGAGAACTTTTTTTTTTTTCCATCAAAAAAGTAGTAAAGGCAGGGCTTCCCTGGTGGTGCAGCGGTTGAGAGTCCGCCTGCCGATGCAGGGCACATGGGTTCGTGCCCTGGTCCAGGAAGATACCACATGCCGCGGAGCAGTTGGGCCCGTGAGCCATGGCTGCTGAGCCTGCGCGTCCGGAGCCTGTGCTCCGCAACGGGAGAGGCCACGACAGTGAGAGGCCCGCGTACCGCAAAAAAAAAAAAAGTAGTAAAGGCAAACTTAAAGGACTGTCTTCTATATTGAACATCTGTGGCTTTCTTTAAAACAAAAAAACAACTCATTCTGTTGTCTTTGTTTTCCTTAATTGGCCAGGAACTTGTTAAACTTTTCCAGACTCACATCAGCTGCCAGACAGGCCTTTGGGGGCACAGCTCTGGAACTCAACAGGGCAGTGTCCACAAGGAAGGTCAGCTACCAGAGAATTTTGAGGATGGCATTTTGCTCTGGTGGAATCCATCTTTTTTTCTAGACACCTCCTTCAAGTATTTAAGAATGATTTTGTACCATTTATGAACAGCTATATAGCTTTTATGGCTGGTGACAAGCCCAGCCCAGCAGGCACCTCAGGGATGCTCAGAAGTGCTTGTTTAACTGCTTTGGAAATGAGCAGACTTCTAGTGACCATTAAGTCTAGCAAGTTCTGGGTTCTCGGCATCTGCATTATCCATTGCAGGGTTTGCAATGACCCATCTATATTTAAGTTTTAAATATCATTAAACTAATATTGGAGTTCCGAGGGTCACATACATTTACTTTATTCTGATGATAAAAGTTTTACATATATATGTGTGTGTATATATATATATACATATATACACTCCCCCATAAGTTGGATATTATATACAGATACATACATACATATGAAAATGTAGAAAAATATGTGTGTGTAGGTAGTCTATGGTCTGAATGCTTGTCTTTCCCCACAACCACCACCAACACCTATCCCCAAAGGTGATGATATTAGTAGGTGAAGTCTTTGGGAAGTCTTTGGGTCATGAAGACAGAGCTGTCATAACTGGGATTAGTGCTCTTATAAAAGAGATCCCACAGAGCTCCCTAGACCCTTTCACCATGTGAATATACAATAAGAAGTTTGCAGCCCGGAAGAGGGCTCTCACCCAACCATGCTGGCACCTTGATCTTGGACTTCGCAGCCTCCGGGACTGTAAGAAAAACTTTTCTGTTGTTTACAAGCTACCCAGTCTGTGGTATTTTGTTATAGCAGCCTGAACAGACATAGGTAGGTAGGTAGGTGGATAGATAGCAAGATAGAAATAGAGATGAGGAGAGAGAGAAAAGTTACCCATTATTCTAAAATCCAGAAATTCCTACCTTTCCACCTATTGTCATGTTTTTAATTATCCAAAGAGTTTCCAGTGTCATCACTTAATGCCCTCGACGTAGAAGGATAAGCCATAGTTAGAACATGTTTAAAGATGCTTTTCCAAGGAAAAGATTTTCCAGTATATCTGGAGCTTCTGGTTTGAAATCTCTTTGACGTCCTTCTACTTATTCTTTTTTTTCTTTATTTTTATTTTATTAATTTTTGGCTGCCATTGGGTCTTAGTTTCGGCACGTGGGATCTTTTGTTGCGGTGCATGGGTTTTCTCTCTCTAGTTCTGGCGTGCGGGCTCCAGGGCACGCGGGCTCTAGTTGAGGTGCGCGAGCTCAATAGTCGCAGCGTGTGGGCTTAGTTGCCCTGTGGCATGTGGGATCTTAGTTCCCTGACCAGGGAACGAACCCACATCCCCTGCACTGGAGGTGGATTCTTTACCACTGGACCACCAGGGAAGTCCCCCTTCTACTTATTCTTAAAAGATTTCTTTTTATTCAGAAAAAGAGTATTAAATGTGGTTTTCCACATCTAATATCTTCCTCTGCCTTGTCATGGTCTAATTATTCAATCTGTATATGTGACCTAAAAAATCAGTTCCACTAAATCTATATCTATAAATAATGCCAGTGGGCAAGTTATGCTAACTGGATACATAGAAATACCACCATATGACTGATGAGTGAGGGTCCAAAATATCTCTCTGAATTGCTGAAGGATCCCTGGTTCTTTCTGCCACAAATATTGCACTTTTAGCTTTGGTAGTGGATTCATTTGTTCATTCAACAAATATTTACTGAGTGCATACCACGTGCCTGGCAGCAGTAGAGGCACTGGGGATATAGTAGTGAACTAAACAGACAAAAGTCTCTCTCCTTCTGGAGTTTACATTCTAGTGAATGAGGGCGTGGACTCAAATTAAACTTAACTAGTTCAAATCCCAGTTCCACCACTATAGTTTGGAATCTATAGTGTGACATTTTAGTGTGACCTACTCTCTAAAACAAGGACAGTGATAATAGCTTTAACTAAGTGAACGGCAGTTGAGCCAGCTAGAAGTGGTCAGATCCAAGATATAGTTTAAAGGTAGAGTCAACAGGATTTGCTGATAGATTGAGTGCGAGGAAAAAGGAGTCATGGATGACTCCAAGTTTT